ATTGCACCAAACAGCACCCTGCTTTTTCTATTCCTACATTTTTTGCTACCAAAATATGTATTACTTTTGCATCAGAAGACACCAATGGTAAAGTTTCAAATTGAGCCGCTTTGACAAAATTAAAGCGCACATGGCTACTGGCATGCCATCGAGTTATCACAGTGCTCGGCAACTTTTCGAACTCGGCGCACTCCTTGCGCTTTTAACATTTTCTTTGTAACATTTTTGAGAGACCAAGAAGTTTGAAGAGCTACTCGAGTTTTCTCTTTCCAGGAACGGATGGGTCTTCCGGAACGAAGATTCATCGCGCTTGCTCTTTCATTCACTATCGGAGCCGGTACGCAATTGCTGTATTTGAAATGGAAGCAACCGGAACTACCGCCACCACCTTGCTATTCACCAACTCTGGTAGCACTTACGGTTGAGGTTCGTTAAGACGTCCTAACAGACCGATTGTACAGGGAAGGGCAAAAAGACGTGTTGTATCCTTGGAGCCACGCGAAAATATGGTCGTTTATTAGTGTTAGGTCCTCACATGATCCTTGACTGCACAGCGGAAGACAGGGAAGAATACCAGCACTTTATTCTTCCAAGAAGAGCTTCTCTTCAAATAAAACAACTGGAAAGACGCGTAAAACGATGAGCCGGGGCGCCGCACAAGCTGTTCAGCAGAAGGACGCTGATGGTGTTGAGGCGAGACGCTAATAGCGTTAATAGTGGAAGAACGTAACGGACGAATGGTGTTTGTTAATTTCCAAAACTAAGGGCCTGGGTTTTAGGAAGAGGTTTATGTAGGGAAAATTAATGGAGGGAAAAGGAGGGTAAGTTAGTTAGTGAGTGAGAAGGTAGGTAATATGAAATTATTCAGAATTTGGTGGAACTGTTAGAAATCAGTGAATGGAGGGAAGTAGGTCGAAGTGTTAAGGATCAGTGAGAGGAGGGAAACTGGACTGCAGGGTTACATTTGAAGCACATCGAGTCACTCAGTGTGGCAGTGAACACCTCTGATCAATTACGCGCTGAGCTACCAATTCGTCTGGGTGCTCGAACACACACAAAACTCAGGCGTTGCGGCTGAGCATCGATCTGTCCGATAGGGCGGTGATCTTCGAAAATTTTCGAAGATGAGCAACCTCGTTGGTCTAGCCAAAACAGAGCGAAGAATGCTTGGCGTGTCTCTTCATGACCATATAAGTAATCAGGCACACTGTAGACAATGACCACG